AAAGCAGCTCTGTCCCCCTGCGAAAAGGTCAGACTTCATTTGAAGCAAATCTCTCACAAACAAACAAACAAACAAGTGCATCCAGAGAGCACGCACATAAACACGAGTAAATGCATAAACACAGGCTCATACTGGCTGTTCCATAGGATGGTTCTCAGTGCGGGCAGGCTTTAATGTGCATTTGTCAGTCATAATAAAACTGAATACAAACAAGCCTTAAAAAAAACAAAACAAAATCAGAGCTGTTATAAAGGACACAGAGGGAAATTTTCTCCGAGAATATCGCCAGAGGAAATCAGACTAAAATGTTTTTTTAAATTCTCCTCCACGTACTTTTTTTTTTCAGAACTTTTCTTATTCAGGCAAGAGCTTTTACACCGAGAGACCTCCGTACAGAGAGGAAAATGAAAAGTAAATAACAAATTCAGTGAAACTTCCAACGCTACTTATGCAATAGACTTTATATATACATTTATATATACATTTATGTGTGTGTGTGTGTGTGTGTGTGTATGTCTAGGTCATGCAGTGACAATAGATGATATCCATTCTGGATCAACATTCAGCAAGAAAGAATATATCTTCCTATCACATAGTAAGAGAAGAGATGTGGGAGAGTTGAAATATAGGCAGGAGGAATTGAGGAGTGCGCAGCAAAGAATATGACTAGGAAAGCGATTGATGCCAACACCAAATTTAGGAGAGTGATGTAAGAGGCCCACGGTGTTTCTTCTTCTGACCTCACAAACCCGCCCTTCTGTAAGATAGTCTTTTTATTTCATTGTGCTCTGACATCTATCTGGTTTCATTACAAAAACAGGCTATGGAAGAGTGGTTATCACTCATGCCTTACAGTAGAAAGATCACCAGTCCAAACTGGAGACAAGCCTCAGACCATGACTTAGCAGTATAGGATGAATGGATGGATGGACCAAACAAACACATCTTCGTTGGATACTCTCCTCTACAGTCACAAATCTGCTGCAGTCGTCTGTGGTCCTGCTGGCAGGAAGGTATTTTTTTTTTTTTTATGTCCCTGCTACTTTGCTATTTGTAGGCTTTTCCAATTATGATTTTTTTTTTCTTCTGGTATGCACATACATCAATACGTTAAAGTACTAAAAGCTGTGCATTTCATTGACCTTTTGTTGCATTTTCCTCAATCAATTCCAGCCATAACAACTAACCAGAGCTTGCTGTGCACTCAAAGAACAAAGCCACTCTCTCAGTACAAGTGGATATACTGTATACTCTGTAGGTAGTCTACAGACCATGGACCTTGTTATGCTGTAGGAGCTGTCAGAGGCCTTGTGTCACACAGATTTGATGGATGTGGACCACGTCTCTGCGGTAGTTAAATGGATATTGAACAGGAGTGGACAGGACCTTGAGTGCAGTAAATATATTTAAAATCAAGAAAGGAAGTGGCCCTGAACAGCTGACAAACGAACACCAAGGGCGCTCTGCTGGCTTTGAGCTTTATTCTAAAGGGGGAAAAAAAAACCCCATGAAGTCTGATTTTACAGACGTGAAGTATGTGCTTTTATACCAGTAAGTGCCGGTCTGTTTTTGGACTATAATTGGACACCTCAGGGTTAACTGTCATTGTGCTAGGTTTATTTCATTTATGAAACTACATCAGCTGTCTGGTGTTCATTTCATTCAGTATAGCTAAGAAATATTGACACAGTGACATAGGAGGACATTGGGTTTACAGCGTTCGCACTCTTTTAAAATATCTACTATAAATGTAGGAGTTTTATTGCAAATGTTGAAAGAACATGTGCATAATATATATATATATATATATGAGATGATTTTTGGAACCTTTTTGGAACTTTTAAGTCATTTAGTTAGTCATTGGAGGTATCTGTAAGTTTTTTATTTTTTTCTTAAACAAATCATAACATACTGCTTCTCATTAAATGCTACAGACAGCTAAATTTTGCAGTTTAAATATTGATAGCATGCTTGGAGTGTTTGCTTCTCTCTAGCCTTGATAGAGGTCTCATTTAATGACACCAGGAAAACTGGAGCTGACACAAGGAGTATTAACAGGAAAAACAAAAAATAACCCTAATTACATTACTATTTTTATTTAAAACTCAATGGCAAAGACATTACTCAAGACCACGTGACAAACATTGACCTGGATCTGAATATAAAACAGTCACAATTTCCCATGTTGTTGCTTTTAACTAAGAAAAACCAGTCATTTTAACATTACGGTTGGTGATTTAATATCACACGCTGAGCCTTTTTGACCTGTGATAATTGCCTTGGACTTCAGTAAACTAACCAGGGGCTATTTTCAAACCAAATTATACACCACTGTTGAGCAGATAAATATGACATTCTGAAACGGCTCTTAATTGGTGCCCACAATACAACCCTAAGTAACACAAATATAAATGAATATTTTCTAACCTGATGGGAAAAAATATGGATAATTATCAATGGTTGGAAATCTAATTTAAATATTTCAATAGGTTAAGGTTATGGTGAAGTAAAGCCATAATAGGAAATCCAGCATTTTATCACTAAAGAGACAACGTATTATGAGAAAGCACTTCTGTAAGAAATAATCTTGAATTAATATAAACCTATTAATAGTATATGTTTTCCATTTTTTTGTAATTTGGAGAAAAAAAAACAGGCTGTTAACACGTGACAGAGGAAGGACAAGTAGGTGTGACAGGTGAAATAAAAGGGGCTTTGAAAATCAACATGACTGCAAATCAAAAAAACCATCCCTCTCCAGTGTCAAAGGGAGCATGAAATAGCCACATTTCAGTGCTAAATTAAACTGATCACTGTAATTACACCTGACTGAATGTGAATGACTGAACAATGAGGTAAATGAGACTGGGCTGAGAGGGGTGAGGAGTGGGGGAGGGGGGTGTCTGTTCTGAAAAATAAGCTTCTAAAAAGGACCATAAGAGGGAGAATGAGCTGAAGAGCCACATGTGTGAACTGGAACTTTATTTTATTTCTTATCTCCCTACTTCCTTTCCATTTCGTTTTACTTTTCACTTTGTCTTCATGGGTCAGTATTTTTATTACACACACACACAGGCGTCAATCTGTCTCGTTGGCCGTGTTGCTGCAGCAGATCTTCTCTTTCCTTCTTGTGCACAAACTGAGACATTGTTGGAGGGGTTTATTTTGACACCAAGGCTTTCCAGCAAAGCAAACAGGAAGCTGTGCTGTCAGCTCCTCTGTTTGACCAACACATACAGGAACATATGTTCCTTTTTTTCTTTTTTTTTTACCTACCTAACAACTTTAAATTATACGTTTGACAGGTGTGTTTTCTTAAACACCTTGTATAGCAAGAAATGTACAACTGTAACTTCAATCATTAGAATTTGGTTTAAATGGAAACTGGAGTAAAGGTCGCTGGCACTGGAGCTGTAATGAAATGTGAACTACGTCATGGAGACAAGGGTCAAGTTCATGCCTCTGTAGCTGTTGCGTAATTGCAGCCTGCCTGGTGTTATCATTGTTTCAACATACCACACATAACTATACAATCAATGTGACCAGACCAAAATAATAATAATAATAATAACAATAATAATAATTAGACCATTTGTTTTCAAATATTGAACAACTCCTTTGTAACTTAAATCTATTCTTTACCGTTGTGTTTGACATGTATCATGTATCATTTTATTAACACTTGTATTCAAGCAAAAGCTAAGTTATTAGCTTATAGCTAAAGTTATTTCAGTTAAGTTATTAGCTTATAGCTAAAGTTATTAGCTTAAAGCTTAAACTAATGCAAGCTGAATCTATGTTATATTTGAGTATCTTTTAACCCATTTGTCTTTAATGTTATAACATAAGGATTTAATCGATTTAATGATGTGCTATTTTTCTAACACAATCTATTATTTAACATGTTATTATATATAATTCACTAACACAATTGTACCAAATATAAACTATTACCATTACTTGAATTAATAGTTACTTTAGCTAGCAGAGTATATCGATATAAAAGTGTAATTTCGTGTCACTGAGCACTAGGGCCTAATTTGCGACTCCATGCCACAGACGTAAACCTGCACTGTTTTGACGCTTACAGGCACCCGTACAAAATGTAAACAAACCTCTGACCTTTATGTGAGGAGTCTCGTTGGATTTAGACGCGATTATTTCCAGTACATCGGCGCGGAGGTCCACCAGGAACTTCACTCCACCTTCGACCCTGCTTATATGATTGAGCAGCTGTTTATACCGGGGGGTCAGGCTGTACCGGAGCCTGTCTTCAACCTGTAAAATCGTGGCCAGGTCACGCAGCTGAGTGTCCAGGAGCTTCACAGCTAACTCCGAAGCGCCTTTGTGGTCAACCCCAAAGTCCTGGGATAGCTTGGACAAAAAGCGATGTTTGTCTTCTTTCTCCAAACTTTTGTAGAAGTGCATGAAGTCTAAGCTGTTCGATTCGGGAGGAGGTGGCGATTTCTCTCTCGTCTCATACGTTGGTAAAGGTGCAACGACCCTGGTCAGGATCTCCTCCATGCCCGTGAAGCCAACGCGAGTCGGTGAAGAGAACCAGCGACAGCCACTGAGTTCCGTGGGTCCCAGAAACGCGTGAAGAACCCGTGTCCGGTGTCGCCAGCACTTCGCACTGCTGCGAAAGGCCCAGAATACAGGGTTGGATATCATCACGGGGGCAGCTCAGCACTGTGTTTAGACCTGTCAATGCTGGACTGATTCGTTTCCGGGTCTCTTAAAGAGACAGTGCACCGTCAACGAGCAGCTTATTTAAGTATCAGTAATTAAGTAGTAATAATACACATATGAAGTACTGCTCGAAGCATTTGGAAATTGTCTTTGAGGAAAGGTGCATGAAACGTAAAGATTTAAAATATTTTAAAAAAAAATCAACTTTATTTTATTTATATTTACCAACGGTGGGACGTCTATGAAGTATGGAATTGTTTTCAAAGACCTTTGATGAGTGCTCACTGCACAACACACTTAAACTATAATTCCGCAAAATGCACTGCTATTATACAGTTGATCTTTAGCGTCAGTCTTCTGAATACTTTTGAGTTCACTGTGAGAATTTGTATTTCCTGATTTGTGGTTTCTGACTACATTCGTTAATACAATACATGGTGCTGAAAAATTATGAGGAAAACTCTATCTGTTTCTGTCACTTGTATTTATGTAGAGAGAATTGTGCTCTGCACATTCTGCTGGGGAAAACAAGATTTTCTTTCCAATGCTTAAAGCCATTTAAACTATTTATATTTTCAGAACATAAACATATTTTGTCTGTTTTTCCTGTGTTCATATTCCTGCCTTTTGAAACCAGAAAACCTTCAACTCTGAACAACCCTCCCCGAGCATAACATAACTTAATACTTGTAGATACAGCACTCTTTTTACAGAGTCAGTGCTTTTTTTTCTACCTTAAAATCTTTCACCCAAGGTAATACCATTGAGTGCATGTCCAATATTGTTTTGCAATAGTTGGTTTTGACATATCAATCAATAGTTGTAATGTATTAACAATGAACCACTACATCTTGCCATCAGCTCCAATGCTTTATGTGCTTAACCAGTTTTTCTTTTGTCAGATTTGTTTCAAATTGATTGTTTGTTAGATGGCCAAACCCCTCGATGTTTGGCGTGCATTACTTTGGCTTATAGCACTAGACTATTCATCTTTTTGATTTTTCAAGGAGAGCTGATCTGATTAAAATGGCCTGAAAACATAAGAGTTATTTTTCAAAATAACAAGGGAGAGATGAATAAGGAGACATGACATCTTGGTAGGTAGGGGCAAGTCCAGTTCTTTGGGGGGCATTTAATATCCATGTACTGTCAATGTCACCATAGACAAGTTCAATATGAGTCAGAGGAGAGTAACTAGGGCAGGTGTCACCAACGTGGTGCACAGGGTCACCTGGTAGCCAGCGCACATGGTGTACCTAAGGAGTATGTTTTCAAAATAAAACTAGTCAAACAGCTGCTGAAAATCTAATTTATATTTTTTGTTTTTTTAAATTAGTAATACCAACATTGATGTTCAAGAGGGTGCAAATAACAAGGGTAAGAAGGGTCCCAGAAATTGACCAAGCACCAATATTTGTATTAGTATTATTATTACATTAATAGGGATGTGATTAGCCATGACGTAGCTCTCAGTTTCAAAACGGTTGGAGGCTACGTATTGCCAGTATACAATATACTAAACAAATTCAACAAATGTGCCGTATATATGACTTTCCAAACCAATTCTGACGTGTTTAACAACCTAAAACGGACAAATCCGATGTCTAACCGCTGCCCGCGAAAGAGCAGCTAATTGACTGAGTCACAGAATTCAACGCAACACACCGGTCAACCTGACGCGGTTGGCTGTTCCTCAACCAATCACAGCTCTCTTGGAAACATCGTGCCTTTGAAAGTAAGGATCCGTCCCTATCTCTAACTTTCCTCTTTTCTTTTAAAACAGTCAAACTTTTTTACACATTAACGTGGTGAGCAATCATTTTGTACTGCAGAATAAATGTTTATACTTAAGTGTAAGTGTATTTCTCTTTTTTTGACGTTTCATTTCGAAAATGATGGACATTTTACCACGCTAACTAGCATCATACCTAGTTTCATTCGTATGATATGCTAAAGCTAATGAATGACATTAGCATATTGGAACTCTGTGTCCTTGCCGTTTGAATGAGTTTTCTGCTGACCTAATGGGGGACATTGTGTTCTCTTCAGGATTATGCGAGAGATGGGAAAAAAGACGGACCCAAAGGCCAAACACAAATCAACAAAAGTGAAGAGCCTGAGCGATGGTGACGACGGTGGCGCTAACGGAAATGACCCCCAGAACAGGTGTGTTTGTGTGGAATGGAGGGCTTTTCGCTGCATCTTTATGGCGTGTTCTGGAATAACCACTGACCTTGTCACGGTTAATCGGTCCTCACAGGTAGCAAAGTCCGGCACTAATGAGGCATAACGTAATTTGTGAGGCAAAACCCTATGTCCGAGGCAGCAGTAAAGTCACAGGCAACAATGGAGCTGGGATAAACGCGACATAAATCTTTCTAATTCTCGGACAGATGCCCTGGAATTTAATGCCTTTATGGTTAAGACCAGGGATTATGTATTATTTGGAGTTTTTGTGTATTTAGTGTGTGTAAATCACACCGAACGGTGTTTTAATACTTGAAAAGCACCTTGCTAGTCCGTTCATAGTCTGTATTTCATTAGTATGAATTATAACTCGTTATCAAATAAGCCACAAAAATGGAGTACTGTAAGATATGCACGTTTTCTGACTGTAGGCTTTATATGAGACCATTGGCTGTTTGAATTTTGAAAAAAAGAAAGATATAAGGAAGTTTATTAAATAGTTTCTGGTCCTCATCTCTCCATTTGCCCACAGACTTGAAATGATACTGGAGTGTTTTTGGATGATTTTGAAAGTTCCAATCCTTATACATGGTTTATCTGCAAAATCTGACTGCTGAGGGTCTGTTTGTATTATAATGATGTGTCCCAGAAAACTGGGATGTCTGCAGTATCAGACCTCAGACAAGGAAAAGCGCACTTGAAAGCCACGTAAAAAAGGTCATAACTAGACATTACAACAGATACTACCTTTTCTTGGTCAGCCATGTTTTTTTTAATTTGTGTTTGACTTTTTTCAGACCTTAAACACTCACAAGTGGAATAAATGGTCTGAGACCCCACTTTTCTGGAATGCAGTCTTATTTAATTCCATCTGAATTGCTCATAGTCACTGACTACCTGGTTTTTTCAATGATAAAAAGCATTAGATCTAACTTACTTTTTAGGTGTAAATCAAATGTCACACTTACCAAGAAATTGGAATTGGCCAAAAATGCAGTTTTTACTCACCGACAGATTTGTTGAAAGCTAAACATCTCAACACAATAATTTCCAAAAATATTTTAAAAAATCCTCTTTGCAAGCTGGCCCCTCTTTGCAAGCTGGAAGAAATAAGGAATATTTCTTCAAACTTGATCATTATTCCATCAGACTGCCAGTGGTGCTTACAGGTGTCTATTTATCTCCGTTCTCTGGAGTCAATCACCGTGATCAAATATGTTGCCTAAATGACCTCCTGTCATGACAACTAAGTTGGAGCGGCTTTAATAACAATAATCTATGCACATGACCTGACTGCATCATTTTTCACCATCTGCTGAGCAGCCACCCAGGCCGCACATCATTCAATAGTGACTCTCTGCCCAGAGACAGAGAGTGAAGCTGTGAATCTTTTGTCTTCCCTTCTCTGCTATATATATATATATATACAGGTGAATAGTCGTGATCTAAAAACCAGTTCTAATAGTGATAAATATGAGTGAATGCATCGTGGCAGTGTGCGTGTGCTGTGAAAGGTCACACACACAATAAAAGGTCTATTCAGAGAACCGTGTGCTGCCTGCGCAGTGAAGCAAAGTGGCGGCTGTCAGCGCCTGCTATATTTCATGTGCGGCATACAGTGGGCACTCCGTCTTCATTTGAATACATTAATTTACCTTGATATCTGATGCGTTTATTACTATGCATATGTGAGGAGACAAATGAATGCGGCGCTGAATCTGTGGCTGGCTGGTGTAATTGACGAGAGCGCGGAGATGAATAGACACCTGTAAGTGCTACTGGCAGCAGAGCAGGCAGTGACAACCAGCCCTGTGTGTTATTTCACGCCACAATGACTGAGTGACTGATTAAGAATCAACTCGTCATCCTCGGCTGCCAGAATCATTTTCAATTAGTTTTTTTTTTCTTTTTCTTCTTAGCATGAAAGTTCCTCCAGCTCCAACTGTCAGATTGCTCGTGTCGGGTCCTTAAAAATGTGAAATTCTTGGTGGTGTTTGCTGGAAGTGGCTCGGAAATAATTGGAGTTTTTTGATTTTTGAGATACAACTCCTCCTGAAGGCTGGAAAGGTCACGTTGAAAAGAAACAAGATCAAAGCCGTAGAGCGATCTTCGGGGGAATCTTCCTGTCTGATTGGTGGCATTTTATAGTGTTGTCTGGGAAAGGGAGTGACGCTAACAGAGCAGAGACTTCTACCCAACATCGGCCTAATGTGTTTTCACTTTAATTCCTCGCTTGAAAAGTGCAGCTCAGCCCGTCTCTCAGGGTGCTGCTTTCATTTAAGTCACAGTGGCGGTGGAAATTGATTTCTTCTTGCAGTTGTGCTGTTTTCCCTAACTGCTCATGTTTCAGAAATACTACTTCACCAAAAAAAAAAAACACAACACCTTTTTTTTATTTCTTTGTTTCATTGCCATCGCTGTCGCATCTCCGGCCCTGACGTGCAGCACAAAGCCGACTAACTCTGCAGAGAAAAGCCATAATGGAAAACCTAAGAAGGTAAACAACATTTTCTTCTTTCTGCTCTGTAATTACCTGCAGATCTGGCTCCACTTTGACTATGTCGCATTTGCCTCAATGGATATTCAGTGTCATCTTCTCCCGGGGAGGGGGATTGTGACGTTAGTCAGAGTATCTGTAACTCTCTGCCCTCTCTGGAATGAGCACGGCAGATACCAAGCTTAGAATGCCTCCCCTTTTACCCACTGACCTTAGCTCACAATGACCCTTGCTCACACTGAACTTAGCTCACACTGACCCAGCAGTGCACCAGCTTGTCCCTGCAAACATGTCCATGTGCTCATTGTTTCCCACAACAGTGACCACGAATTTTACATGCATGCTGTTTCAAGTGATGACAAATCATCACGTGTTTTGATGAGCATTTTCAGTCGTTTTCCTACTATTGTTGATAACAGTAGTAATATAAAGTTGATGTGTGTATATATATAGATATATATATCTATATTGTATATGTGTATATATATATTTGTATCTATATGTATGTTTGCATGTATGTGTTTATGTGTGTATACATGCAAACAGAACTAAACAAAATCATGTGATCATATTACATTGTAGCCAAAAATGCTACACAAACTAAAGTCTGTAGTTTGGTATGTTTTCTATCCGTACCTTTAATTAACTGGCTGAAAGACGAACAAATTTATTGTCCAATAGCGTCGGCTCAAATTCGCCCCAAAATGTCGAGACTTAAACTGACTAGTCTCTAAGAAAAGGCACCGTAGCACAGTCTGAAAGAGACTGAAACCTGCTGTTACCATTGTTTAAAAAACGCACCTGGCAAAACGTGGTCTCGTGGTTTTATGAATGTTTAAGGAATTCCTGCCTAACTGTGTGAATGTGTTTGCACTTTCATTTATGGTGTATTAACTTTTAATGTCTGTCCTTCCCTCAGGTCAAATCATCGAAGACAAAGATGCTGAATCCTGCCGACAGTCCCAGGTAGGGATAAAAAAATCTTTATTAGAGCCCGGTTTATCTTATTAAAGACTGAATTAACATGCAGACGAGCTACTAAAATATTTCTGTGACAGGAACCTTTTCTCTAACTCCATTATCCTCCCCGAGGTGAAGAAAACCTTGTGTTTTGATGTTCACAAAGTCTGGACAGCAGCCGTTTCCCCATTCCGTATAAAGTCTGACACTTTTTTCACAGAAAATTAATTTTACTCTGCTGCGAAGAAAAATATCCCTGCTTTGTCAGGGACGTTATAAATGAGAACGCACTCAGTGAGTCGTTGGATGCTCAACAGGGTGTCGCCGCGATGGCAGACTCCGGCCGAAGGCGTGCTGTGTCAAATCTGCCTCACAGTGGCGTTTCTATAGAATTGTTAATGGATCGTTTCCCCAGATGCAGACTCAGCTCCAGCCCCAAAACAATAAATGACATTTTCAAGGAGAATTTGAAAAACCTGTTGAGCTACGAAAATGTCCTTTTATTTTGTCTTTTAAGGAAGGCTTGTGTGGTCAGAGTAGGTTTCATAGAAGGAGGAGCAGAGTTAAGGAAGAAACATAAAGCAACTAGAACCACAGACTGTAAATGTCATTGGACCCAGTGACCCTCCCTCTGTTTGTATAGCTTTTTATGGATTTTTTTTTTCCCAGTTGAGCAGTCTTATAAAAAAATGTTGTTTTTTTTCTCCCCCTTTAGAACTGAGCAGCTTCCAATTAGATCAGCAAAGAAAACAGTGAAGTTATACAAACAAGTAGTTGTCATATATATACAATATTATCAAGACATATGTACTATGTATGAAAATATATACATATATACCATATATGCATACATATATACACATATCTGTGTATGTGTATATTCATATATGTACATATAAATATATGTTTACATGTATACATGAATGAGTATAGATATATATGTATACGCACATATAAATATGTCATGTGTATATATAACCTTATAGCTTGATTTAGCTATAGCTAGCTTTTTAATTTGTTTTTCAACGAAAGTTCCTCTGGCTCTAACAACAGCGTGGTATATACCAAACATTCACTTCACAGGCTTTATTAAAGTAAATGCCAGGAATTTTTATTAAGTTAAAAACAAACATGAAGTTATTAAACTTAACTTAGTCTCACCAATGAGAGACTGCTGATTCTTGAGACTGAAGCGACCTTCGATCTTCTTCTGAAGAACATCTCAGGCTTCCCCGTGTTTGACCCAAAATCTACGACCACTTTTTTCATAGTTCGGATGTCCAGAGGGACACGTGCATGAGAACAATGGTGACAAGGTGACTCTTTACGTTTGCGTAGAAGAGAAATAGTTGGGCTTTTGTTTCACTCAGTTTCTATGAAATGCAGCCTGGCATTTCACAGATTAAATCTGTCTCTGTCGGTGATAAAGTGGCCGACAGCTGGTATCAGATGCTGACTAATGCAGGGTGAAGTGCTGGTCAATGGCTCAGCAGAGGTATTTCTAATAAAACGAACGAGTGGCTCATTTCTGCGAAGTCCTGACAGTCTGATCTATACCACGTAGTGAATCCTTATTTTATCTCTTGTGCAGTGAGGGAAAAACTCCGTCATCCCTCAGAAGTCGTCTGGAGTTTTACCGTCGACGTGCAGAGACTTCAGATTCATACTCAGTGAAATTGACAATTAAGTTTTTCCAATACTTAACAGTTCCCTCGGTCCCTCTTTAACTTAATTAAACATGAAGTTAAAGGACGTCTTTATTTTTTAGAAGCAGGGAAAATGGCCTCTTTTTTTTCCCCTTCACACCAACTCCTCGCTGGGCTGGAGAGACGAAGCCTGTGCTGTGATTTATTTTTCTTTGCTAATTGGTGTAATTATGGCATTATTATGGCAGTTTTGATAATCACCCTCATTATCTGCTGTTTCTTGTGGTCACTGAATTGTTTCGCCATTATGGATTTTTTTTTCCCCCTTTGCTTTATTCTCCTTGACATAGTGATTTTGTCACAACTCTTGCCGCAGTGAAAGCCGTGTCCTATTATTAGCCTGTTCAGAAGTGTGACTGAAAAAAATGATCAACATTTGGTTCCAGCCTCAGAAAAAAGACTTTTTTAAACGGGTTAATTTTGGAGTTTTTTAAACGGCAACGAAGAATAACGTGGTGAGCGTTATTATGGACGACATTAAGGGGGTTCAAAGTCTAACAATGTGGGCCTTAAAAATGTGAACTCAGTTCTCTGTTGAAGTTGGTTTTGTTTTGGAAATTGCGTCACACTGCTGTAAGGCCATTATAGAAACATGACATCAGGACTTTTTGTTCTTTTGTTTTTGTTTTCTATCGATTGCACAATGACAAGGAAAATGTTGGGCATTGCCAACAGCAAGGTTACCAAAATGAAACCGACTTCAGCAGATCAGTTAAGGACTCAACTTAGATGTTTAATGTATGGACTATAATAACCTGAGGTGTTGTTTATAGATAAAAAAAAAAAACTTTGTTCCCTACTTTGCAGCCTACCAAGCGTTCTGCTGCCCCCCAGTGGAGTTACGTCTCCACATTTGAACACCCGCTTGGATTTAAATCAGTGCTGTTCTGAGTCCGAGCAAATCTTGGACCAAATAACTTCACCTGATCTGTTTCCACCAGCCGCAGTTTTATGGACACTGAAAATATGTATTAATTTGACTCACCAGCGCGGTACCGGCTCAACATCCGCAGTTATTTTCTCTTTTATTTCTTCTCTCACTCTCTGTGATAAAATCTCTGTCTCTCCATAACGTCTGACAGAGGAGCGGCCGTTATCTTCATTTCCGATTCATTTAGATTGACAGAGACGGAGGGAGACGCCCGGTCCATCGCTCAAAGAACCGTTGACGCTCACGGAGCGGAAGAAAGAAAGTTATCAAAAAATGTTTCCGATTGTCAAGAACCCGAGTGACGAGCACTATCGAGAAGTTCAAAAAGATCAACAGGATACACAACAAACATGTCAGCTGTAGCAAATGAATGATTTCTAAAGTGTCTGAAGAGCAGGCAGGTAAAGAGAGAGAGAGAGAGAGGCCTAGCAGGAAGTTAGTTTTATAATTACTAAAAGTTCAGTACAAGTGTAAAATATGTCCATGTATTGTCTTTACTACCTTTAGTTTTTCACCAGAGAATTAATTAGACTTTTTTTAAGAACTTGATTGGTCAAAGTTGCAGCTTGGTACATTTTAACCACAGCTCAGCATATATTTCAGAATGTAAAAAGAAAACTTTATTGCAGACTTTTAATAATAGTTTAGAACTTGATTGGTCAAAGTTGCATCTTGGTACTTTTTAACCACAGCTCAGCATATACTTCAGAATGTAAAAAGAAAACTTTATTGTTGATTGATTACTGCACCACTGGCAGCAATTAAGAGCAGATAATTAAAGGATATTGGTATTGATTGGGTAAAAAAAAAAACCTTATATAACATTGAAGCTTTTTCTTTCCAATCCTGCTGTAAATGAGTGCAGGTCAATTAAAGAAGAATCGGCTTCTGCTAATTGTTTGTGTGCTTTCACAGCTCAGTAAAAAAGGAGATAAAAGAAGATGAAAAAGAAGATGAAAAAGAGGATGAAAAAGAAGATGAAAAAGAGGATGACGACTTCACGAAAAAGAGGATGAAAGATGAAAAAGAAGATGAAAAAGAGGATGAAAAAGAAGATGAAAAAGAGGATGACGACTTCACTGTCAAGAAGGGAACGAAAAGGAAAAGGATTAAAAATGAACCGCAGGAGGAGTCTTTGAACGCTGCCACCAGAACCAAGTAAGTCTCACTGCTGTGAGAAAGAAGAAGAAGAGATGGACAGGATGTGACGTCAGGTCTCATTATGTTGGTGGATAATGTCTTATATGTTTTCATGTGGACCATGTTTTTTAAACCGACAAAGTTACAGTAATTTTCCTAAAATAATTTCCGAGTGGAAAATTTAGGCTTCGTCAAGAAGCACAGCTGAATGAGATTGAGTATGGCTAGCTAGCATGCAGGCTGAAATATGTGATTGTATTTGTAATGTTTATTTTGGTATTGTATATCTTTTTTTTTATGTTTTTAAGCAGTTTTTATGGGGTTTTTTTTTCAGTTCAAGGAAGAAAAAGAAACGTGACAAAGAAGAGGAAAGTGATGAAGAAATGCCGAAAAAAAAGAAGTCAAAGAAAGCAGAGAAGGTACGTTTGTCTCCGTCAACACCACCACAGCAGCAACAGTTTACACCGTGACTGTGACACTGTGACGTTGTTCTTTGGTACAGGCGGTGAAAAAGGGGGAAGGAGACGATCCTGTGCCAAAAAAACCCAAGAAAACCAAGGCCGAGGTGCAGGAGGCCAAATTACTGAAGCTCAAGATCAAGGAGGAAGAGGAGAAGAGTCGCTGGCGATGGTTTGAGATGGCATCAGTTTTTTTCTTTTTTTTTCACACTCGCACATCACCTAGAAAATTAGCATTTATTAGGCTTAAGTTCTCATCTGCAGGTCATAATTCTGATAAAAAAAAAATGTCATGAATTCTTGATATGAGAAATTCAAAAACTGGTTCTAACTCGTTACTGTCTTCAAGGTGGGAGGAAGAAAAGTATGAAGACGGAGTTAAGTGGAAGTTTCTGGAACACAAGGGACCTTATTTTCCTCCCGATTACACGCCATTACCTGACGACGTGAATTTTTACTACAACGGTCAGTACAGCATGTCGTTTTGTGTAAATGTTTATGAGGTCTTCACTTCTAAACAAGTTGTTAAACAGTGCCTCTAGATGGCATCATTTTAGTAAAAGTACATTAGGAAAAATGGAAAATTATGCCTAAATTAATCAAAAGTTGGATCAAAATTGGCTAAAGTAGCATTCATCTGTGTTGATCTGCCGGGCGTTCCCTCCAAACACCAGACACGCACTCTAGAATTTTAAAGACACCGAAGGTGCATTGGGTCGAACGCTGATTGATTACTATAATTGTTCCGTCTTTGCTTAGCAGTCCAGGTACGATGTACGTTGTCAGCTGGGAAGGCGGTCTGATCTGTTAATTCCGGTGCGTGTCTGTGCGTATTTGTACGTGGCTTAAACCATCAGGGCTGAATCTAGATCTCTGTCCTTGTGCCTGTGTCCTTTTTCCTTGTAAAAGTTACGGTCCAGTCCGTCAAGATTTCTGCAGGAGCCACGTGTTTTGCAAAACCAAACCTTCTTCTGTGTCTTCTGTTTTATTTGTCATTGAAATCATAAAGTCATTGAAACAGGAACATTGTTTTTCCTCTGGCTTTGCTCATGCAGGTCAAAAGGTGAAGCTTAGCTTGGCGGCAGAGGAGGTGGCGCTGTTCTTCGCCCAGATGTTGGACCACGAGTACACCACCAAAAAGGTTTTTAGGGAGAACTTCTTTAAAGATTGGAGGGAGGTAAGGAACCGAAACTGTACCGTCTTTCAGTAGTAGTTGGAAAAACTGACGTTGAAAATAACAACTTGGCTCATGACTATATAATATTATTTTAAACATGTATTTTTATTGTTGAAAATAACAACTTGCCTCATGACTATGTTTTTAATATTATTTTAAACATGTATTTTTATAGAAAAATGCATTTTAGATATATATAGTTTGTTTGGTTTTTGCTGAAACTGCAGGACGAATCATATGAAGAAGAAAAACAAAACTGTTTACATCAGAATTGAACGTCGATGTCACCTGAAGGGAATATTCTCTCCATACTTTCCAATTACTGTTAGTAGTTGACAGCGTGGTGTTTGGATCACACGTACGCCGGTTGTGTGTGATGCGGGTTGAGGAGGTGTCCTCCCTAAAGGGGGGAAAACACGAGTGCCAAGTCCCAAGGCATATCATGCAGAATTAATTTTGCGCTCCTTAGTGCTCAATGCACTTGAAAATACGATTTGTGTGAAGGCATTGAAATGCTAATGCGTACAAGTAGCTCCTCTGCAAACGAACAAATCCAATTAAAGTGTTTTATTACGGGCGGGGAAAAAAGTCTCCTCGCTTCGCTGCACCCTGTGCCCGCCCACTATTGGCTGTCACTCATGCTTAGACGCACAAACTGACTGCATGTCCACACTGTCAGACACACGGTGTGTGTGTATTTTAGCTCTGTTTGTACAGACCTCTGTTCAACGACCTTCAACAACAGATTTTCGACCAGTGCCGCTCTGAAAATCTTGATAGATGAGATTCATTTCTTTCATGGTTAATAGACACGTTTATGTGCAGGTTCCATGTCGTTTTTGTTAACCCATTCGTGTCCCGACTCGAGTATGATTTATGTTTTTATTTGAATTCCATTAGGCTTAAATAGCCGTGCTGGACCTCACTGGATGTCCTTCTTCATTCTTAAAGAACCAATAGAAGCTGACGCAATTTTAAAGGGCTGAGCAAACCATAAATTGTAGTGTGAAAATACTTGGCTGTGGGTTAAGAAAAATGAGTTCACTTCTCATTTTGTTTCCCAAACATTTTCCCGCCAAATCTTAGGCTGCGATTCTAAGAAAAAATCTCTTTGAAATTCTTTAATTCAAGACGTCTTTATATTTTGCAGATAACAATTGCTTTTAGAGGGAATGAACCTGCGTATGTGAGAGGAAGGATGAATGTGATTGGACAATAGTTTGTTGAGTGTCATTGATGTCACGTTGGGAGTAAACACTGATGACTGTGGGCCATTATCAGTGTTTTTTCCTACCATTATATTAGGGGGAGCTCAAAGACACTCGGCACCTCTCAATGGTTAAGTTGATCTTTATTTTAGTTTAGTTTATTAACATTTTATCTTTTATCACCACTGCTGCATTTTTTTCTTCTTTTGGTTTCTGTTTTGTCTCCTTGATTTTTTTTATCTGCTTAGTAAAATACAAAAAAATCTAACTGAGATTCAGTATGTGAACACACAGTCGTGCACACTCCCTAAACATAAGTCTGAAAAATAAAATCCGAACCGCATTAAAAAAAAGGAAACACAACTTTTAAACATTAAGAGAAGTTAAATTTTCCTTTATAAATAATAGTTCAGTGTCTGCATTTACCTTTCTCCAAAAAGCAGCAAAATTTAGGGGAAAATCCGACGCTATTGAGGGGGAGGAGCTTATTGCAAAGGCGTGTGTACAAATCTGGTTTATTCTGAAAGCTGCAGAGAACTTCAGCTGTTCTTCAAGGACTCGGGAAGATCTATATTTGGCTCAATGATTGTTCAGCGGTTTACACTGTGTCACTTACAGCCTTCATAATGATAAGTAATAAAAAAAAAAGAAAAAGCTTTAGTTCAAGTCACTCTGGGCTCTGTTTGTTTTTATGGCCCGTCGTCGTCGTTGTTGTCGTTGTTGTTGTGGAGAGAACTCTGATCCCTGAACATTATAATAATGACTTCACAGTTAATGTGGTAATTTAACGTCGACCTTCTGTCTGTTTTTCCTTAATGACCTGGAACTGTGTTATTTTGGTTGTGAGTTCTTTACGTTTTACTGATTAGCACTAGTGCTAAAACTGCTTTACGGCTAAAATACTACTCAGAATGTAATACTACACACATGAATGTGTTAGACAGATTATACACACCTGGTCTTCATCATCTTCATCTTCATCAGGAAATGACAGAAGAGGAGCAGCAACTGATCCAAGATCTTGACAAGTGTGACTTTGGAGAGCTCCATAGCATGCACAAAGCCAAGGTGGAGGCCAGGAGAAATAAGAGCAAAGAGGAGAAGCTGGTGAGTCAAAGTCTTCCTTTTTTCCCCCCCCTCCTCTTCTCCAAATGTGAAGAAAGATTTTTTTTTTTTTTCCTTTTTCGCATAAACAAGGTTGATTAAAGAGGTTATTGGCCCCCCGTGCTTGACCGGTTTTCATTTTAGGCTTTGAAAGAAGCCAATCAGAAGATAGTGGATGAGTTTGGTTACTGTCTGCTGGACCACCACAAAGAGCGCATAGGCAATTTTAAGATTGAGCCTCCGGGGCTGTTCAGAGGTCGAGGAGAGCATCCTAAACAGGGCATGCTGAAGAAGAGGATCCAGCCAGAGGATGTCATCATCAACTGTGGCGTGTAAGAGAGTGAGGGGGCGGGGGGGGAGGATGTGATGATTGACCCTAAAGGAAAAAGGGCAAAGGTCAAAGGGTTTTAATTTTTATTAATATTTGAGTATTTTGGATATCATATTATTGATGTTAAAACTGTATACAACAATAACAACTAAATAATAATATAATAACTGATATACATTGATGTGCCTATAGTATCTCAGTATATTGCTATATATCGTATCGTTTTATGTATATTTGTATATTTTTTATATATATATATATTTATATATCGCATCCCAATATTTCTGCCAACACAAGTCCCACAAAGCTGTTAATATATGCATTTTTTTTTTGCACTCCATTAGTGAGGCCAGCATCCCAGTGCCACCTGCTGGTCACCAATGGAAAGAGGTCCGACATGACAACACGGTCACCTGGTTGGCCAGCTGGAACGAGAACATCCAGGGCTCCATTAAATACATCATGCTCAACGCCAACTCAAAACTCAAGGTATGTACAGCAGACTAATCTAATGCTGCTGCCACCTAAAGGCCAGGTTTGTAACTTATGTTCTTGTGGAACTTTCATGCTGTATTTTTAAAGATGTGGTTAAAATTGCAACTGTAACTTTTGCAACAAATCATGTATTCTGAAAGTTCTTGGAGAAAAAAACCCTTAGTAGTTGACCTTTGACAGCAGTTGAATTACAGTTCAAAATAGTGCGAGCTCTTTTGGCTGGTTTGTTTGTATTTTTTGTTTTGATCGTTTCAATTTTGCTGCTCTCATCGTTCCCTTCTTCCTGTCATCAATATCAATACAGGGCGAGAAGGACTGGCAGAAATACGAGGTTGCTCGGAAACTGAAGACTTGCGTGGACACAATCCGTGAACAGTACCTGGAAGATCTCAAGGCTAAAGAGATGGTCACTCGCCAGAGAGCTGTTGCCCTCTACTTCATCGACAAGGTCTGGTTTTTGAAGTAATCGTGTCACAACAAGGACATCAAGTTTGACGTCTTTAACAAATAAAACAAAGCTTTGGTCTGTCTCAGATTCTCCTCAGTGCTCAGGTCAGATATCAAGGCCTGTGGAAATCAATGCCACATTCCTGGATTTCCTCTGTAGTTTTTTATATATTTTTTTTTATTTAGAGATTGAGGGTCTTTTACCAGAGGAAAATTGATTATGCGCAGTAATTTTCTCCCTGACTGAAAGCTTATCTCAGTTTGCATTGAGAGAAATGATGGATTGAGTGTGTAATTGCTTTCGGCTCACGCCAAATGACTGTCTCCGTTTTGATTAGCGCTTTGTTGCCTTTGGGATGTGCTACGTTAATCCAGCACAACGCGGGTGTTTTCATCGGACGGCCACGTTTTGTTCAGTAAACAAACAGATTCAGATTTGTGGGTGAAAGTGGCTTCATATCTGTGTTTTCATCTCTCGATCTCTTGACCCACATAAGCTGGCGCTGAGGGCTGGTAACGAGAAGGAAGAGGGAGAGACGGCGGACACGGTGGGCTGCTGTTCGCTGCGCGTCGAGCACATCACCCTGCACAAGACGCTGGACGGAAACGAATGTGTGGTGGAGTTCGACTTCCTGGGTAAAGACTGCATTCGTTACTACAACAAGGTGCCGGTCATCAAGAAGGTAAAGGACTATAAGACCAGTAACACCAGTAACAAAGTACATATACAGTATATATATATATATATATATATGTACTGTATATGTGTATATGTATGTATGTATGTGTATATGTATGTATATACGTGTATATGTATGTATATATGTACGTATATATGTGTATATGTACATGTATACGTACGTATATATGTGTATATGTACATGTATACGTACGTATATATGTGTATATGTACATATATATGTACGTATATATGTATGATACCTTTACCTTCTGTTTTCATTTTTTTTTTATTTTGAGAATTACCAAAATATTAGACTTTTATGTTTGAACATAAAAAACATATTGGGTTCAGACTGCATACCTCTATATTCTTATATAATGTGGTTCATGTCGTAGTACTGACACTGATACACTGTGTCACTACTACAGTATGAATATGTCTATTACTCGTCACTACTACAGTATGAATATGTCTATACAATTTTCTACATAAAGGCTAACATACATTGTTGTGATAAAGTAGGTTGTTTTCCTAGGGATTTTTACCGAAGTCCCAGCGGTGATGTTCACCTGCAGTGATGGTCACCTGCGTTCACGCTAACGTTTGGAGCCTGAAGCTGGGAAAGAACCCAGAATCATCCTCGGGCCACAGTGGCCGATTAAATTCTGGTGGTGGTTTAATTTCCGTTAGACTCTCAGAACTGTCCTTCTGCCCCAGTTTGAGTCTCTTTTATTAAATAGACACGCAGGGAAGTTTATAAACCTCAGAGATAACCTGGAGCTAGGTATTCCATTTAACATGGTTAAAGTAGACCTGTCACGCTGCTACTGCGGCACCACTACTTACTGCTACAAGCACATCCGCTTTCCTTTGATAATTCCCCACCACAAAGCTCTTGGACTTTGGTTTGAGAATAAGTGTAACTACAAATGTAGAAATACAATTCTAAATGCCATGAGTGACTTTATTTGAGAGACGTATGTGGTAAAAAAAAAAATACAAATACAACCGGAAAGTCTCATTTTAAACTTCCCTCTGCTGTAAAACATCACTTCATCATATATAATATATGGTTTCATCCATTTTTAATGCTTAAATTCCACACCTTTAAATATATTTAACAAAACTCACTGAAAAAGAGCTTTTTTTTAATGTTTTAGTTTGTCTTGTTTTTGTAGTTTATTCTTAACTCAAGTTATTTGGTTACAAAAAATTTACAAAAATGGCAGTTTTTTGCCAAATTATAAATATTTGTTTCAACAAAACCAAACATCCGCTCCTGAAAAAAATGAGCAATTGTCATGAATGTCACATTCTTAACTGTTCCTTCCAATGTGAACTACAGAATGTAGCGGTGTTGGTGTGTCTGTAGATGTTGTGCTATTTCTGTTAGCGTGTGACCCCTAAAGTGTTTTGTTTCCTGGCAGAGCACACAATTATTTAAATATGTGTAATTACTTATTTGTCGCAGCCGTGACACATTACCAACTGCTAATTAGCCCATTCCATATTTTAGCATGATAAATCCCCAGCCAAATTGCTGCTGAATGTCACTTGGGGTAAATCAAAAAAAAAAAAAAAAAAAAAAAAAGGACTGCTCCAGCGGGGAGGAAAACATGATACCTGAATACATTTGAATTTTTTTGCTGGGTTCAAAGCATTCGCTAAAAAAAAAACTGCTCCAGCGGTGTCTTAGCCTGTCACATGACTTCATCAAACGTCGTTACCTGCAGCTGTAGCTACATTTTTGTTCTCTCACCTCCTCAAATTTGTATTTACAGTGTTATTTATAAGCTCGACAAACACAAACACGCGCGCGCTCGTAGCGCACACAAACACTTCACTAAAACCAAATAAGCGCACTCACTTTGCCGTCTCCACTCCTGACATTCTGAGAGATGCTAATTATTTTTTATTCAAAAGCTCTTGCACTTTGCAGTTTATTTGCCAAAGGGGAGAACAGAACTGCTTCACAAACAAGTCTGGGAAAATGTGTCAATTTTAAAAGCAACACAGCTGTTGTTAATAATGGTACTTTGGGTTTTTTTGTTTTTTTTTTCTGAACTTACTTTTTGTGGAGGGCTTTGATTTGGTAGCACTCACAGAAGCTGGAAATGTCAGAGGTACATTTGTTTTTTAATGGTTTTTGCCTGTACAGTGGTACTTTAGCTTTGAAAATGTACATTCTGTAAGAGCTGGTCTTGTGTCTTTTCAGGTTTTTAAGAGTCTAAAGTACTTCATGAAGAACAAGGATCCTGGAGACAACCTTTTTGATCGACTCTCTGTAAGTACTTCACCGACTGTGAAAATTACAGCTTTGTCTCGTGCAAAGGTTTTGAAACTGTGTGGTCCTCCTATAGGGGAGAAGGGGAAAAAATGTCTAAACTTTCCAAGTGAAAATCAAAAACCAAAATGCCTGCTGAATTATGGCTTCTTTTTTTTTTTTAAAGTTCTCTGGTTGTGTTATAGTTTATAGCAGCAGAGTTATTATTAAATGGGTGTAATAGGTGGAGAACAAAAAATCAGGATGGGACCAGTGTTTTATAATCTATTTTCTTGTTTCCTGGGCACACAGAGCTGCAGTAAAAAAAGAAAAAAAGAAGAGAGACTAAGTTGAAGCCAAAGTCTGAGAGATAACTATTTAATGGGGATGAACCATTGGTGTGGAGAGATGAAAGGGCTAAAGTGAGGAAAGGGAAGGAAGAATATGGGAAGCAGGGATAGAGGAAGCAGAGAAGGAGTTTCAAAAGAGCGAGGGGGTGGACTCTGGCAGATAAAAAAAAGAATCTCCACTAGTGAAAATTGAGAGTGAACATGCTGGGCAGATGAATTTCCACACTGAAGGAAAAATAAAAAATCTATGGTCCTTTCAACCTCTTCCTGTAGCTGAAGGCAACAAGGCCACACAGAGGGTTTTTTTTTTGGTGGGGTGGATTTTTTTGCCGTCTGTTTGTCTTTGACGAGACAAACCCAGCTGCGATATTTCTCCTACTAGAATCTACACCTTATTCTAGGTTTTCACTAACACCGTAAAGGCCGGTCCGAGTGGAACGCAGCCGACATCCGCTGGTGACCTTGTGTCTGAAGTGCTCTGATTGTCCTGTGTTTTTTTTTTTTTTTTTTTCCCAGCAGCTGATACAGGGGAAGGAAGGGGGCTGAGTAATGGCCACATCAGGGAGAGAGGGGTTTAAAGGAAATGAAGGGAGAAGGATGCAGTGATGAAGAAGGAAGGAAGGGAGGACGAGGGAGAGTCAGAAGCAGGTTGGTGTATAAACACTGACAGCGGAAGATGAAGACACCGGAGCGGGGAGGTGGCGAGAAGTAGCAATTGAAGGAGAAGAGTGTGGTTCCGCTGCATTCTGCTCTCTCCTGTGTCAGGAAATGTCAGGGTGTGTTGGAGGTGGAATGGTAATGGCTGCTGTAGGCAGGACTGATTGACATCTGGAAAGGCCAGGCCACTGAGAGTGATTGGAGGGGTGTTGAGGTGTGTGTGCAGAAGAGAGAGTAGACGTGACGGCTGGTCCAGGTGAGGGCAGGTTGGAAATGGAGAGGGGTGGACAATGGCCAGGAAATGGTTGAGGGTGGATAGATGTGGGTGGGGTAGAAGGTAATGGCCAGACGTGGCAGGAGGTTATGAAGGAGTCAGAAGATATAAAATAAAATGAGCAAAGAAAGATGGGGGAATCAATGGTGGGGCTGAAGTGTGTGCTGCTGACATCTGCTGACATTTCAGAGAGAGAGAGAGAGAGAGAGACAGATGAGGGCAGATGCAGATGGAACGTGAACCTGGCACGACTCCAGACTCCCTTCATCACCAGTCTGTTTCATCTTTGAACCTAACTATCCTGGCTGTTGGTAAAAAAAAAAAGATGATGAAAAATACATCGACCGTGTACAGATGTGAACGAGGTTGTTGCATCTAAAGCTAGAACGACTGGTGTGAACAGTGTGGGTCGCAGTACAGACTAGACTTGGCCGTAGTTTGTGTGAGATTCTTCCAGTTGTCTTCAGTCCGTGGTCCCTCGTCAGACACTCTTGTCTCCTGTGTGAATCCCAGTCGTTAAGATGTCATACAAAAATACAGCCTGTTAGTTTGAACAGCCAGCCTTTAAAAAAGATACAGAGTCACAGTTGTGCCGTCGGTCCCCGGTTTTGTTGACCCGGAACAAAATGTCACTGCCTTCAGAGCAATACCGTGTTTAAAGTGGTGTAAATCAGAAATGTTAAAACACGTGGTTCACGGGCTTCATGTGGGGTCACCAGTTTATTTTATTAAGTCGTTCACTACAGTAGATATCAGTGATGAAAAATATAAGATATAAAAACCTGAGCTTAGCACCTTAGTATGAATTCAACTGATGGTTTATGTCAGGGGTCACCTGGTGTGTTTGTCAGAGACATATTATTATTTGGCATTTAATTGGACTCCAGCTGTGGACCGGATTGGATGGGTTGGTGGGCCACATTCAGCCCATGGGCCACCAGTTGATAATCACTGGTTTGTGTCTTTTAAATAGAAAATTTTCACGCACACACACCACCAATCAGGGCGTGAAGTGGATTTCACTGCTTGTTTGTTTCATCAACCGCATGAACTCAGTGAATCATCACATCGTCAGCCGTTCAGACGCAGCTCTGACGTCACAGAGGGCTGAGATGTTTTCAGACGTTAATTGACCAAATAAGAAGCGCTTGGTTCAGGCACGCTGACAACGTTAGTCGCATTTTACAACAAAACGATAGATACAAAAGAATTCTCCTTTAAGTCATTTAGCTGTGTTTTTTTTTTTTCATTTTGTTTTTTGTTTTTACCTTCCCTGTTGAAAGACCTGAAATAAGTAGTAAATCATAACTTAGATTCTCGTCGACACAACTTACCGACCACATCACTAGGTACAGTGGAACCTCTGGAAAAATTCTGTCCCTCCGACAAATAAATTTGGTGACCCATGAATTTAGACCGTATCCAATATCCATATATTTTGACTTTAATACCCATAGTTGTACTGTAAATATGTACTGATCTGTAAATGACTAATACACAGATCAACAGAGATGACAACCACAGAAAATACATTAGAATCTTGTGCTTGTTGAATTAAATATTCGTTTTTTATTCAACAATTTCCTTTGAGGTCTTTTAAAGGTGGAGAAATAACGACACACACAGACACAGAGTTTAAAACCCAGTCTCAGCTGCTGCTCGTCTGTGATTGGCTGCTGTTCTGCTAATGTCAGAGAACAGAGCCATGTGTACTTTGTGGCAGAAATTAGAACTGCAGCGATGACACACTGGAATGTTGCACTAGGATGTAACACACACACCACACGAAGGAAGTTGGTGTGTATGTGTATGTGTGTATCAGTGTGTGTTCGTGACTTGGTGTTTGTGTTTAAATGGATGTGTGTGTGTGAGTGTGTGAGATCACACCTGCCCCCTTTGACTCCAGACTCCTTCATTAGAATTTCAGAGCTAGGTTGCTCATTAGCAAGGAAGGCAGGGTGGCGAAATGTGAGCGTGTCGACGGTGCTCTCAGCACCAACGCCTCTCACGGGCGCCGCCACCACCATCACCCACTTCCTGATGGAATCCTGCCGCCACAGACAGCCCCCGTGTGGGATCTGTGGCCTCAGACGGCCCCGCGGTGACCTCACTCTGATTAGACCAACCACATCATCATTATAATCATCTCCCAGATTGTTCTTTTCCCAGCAGGGATGTGTGTGTGCGTGTGTGTGTGTTAAGAATTGTTTATGTTTTTAATCTTTACACACACAGTGTGTGTGTGTGTGTGTGTTATTCTCACATCATGGTCTTGTCCTCAACACTTCCAACCTGCTTTGGTTTTTTTTTTTTTCTGTTTTGCTAAGGCTGCTTTCACAGCAGCTAATGACGGTCTGTCTGTCTGTCTGTCTGTCTGTCTGTCTGTCGGCTGCAGTACTGACTTGTTTAAAACACAGAAACGTCAGGGAAGAAATAGGTCTGTGGTCTTTTTTAATCTCCCTGCTTTAATGGATGATGATACTGAAGGCTGAGACTGTATATCCTGGATTTCAGCTGTGAGGATGTTACTGGAGCTTCAGCAGCTGCTCTTATGTGAGACCACAGTGCCACCCTGTGGTGGAGGACAGGCGTTGATTTTTTTTTTTTTGTCACTGTAGCTGTCCTGACCGTACTGTATCTCTGGCAGTGTTGTGTGTTTGATACCTGACTGGTGACCATGTGTTGTTTCTCTCTTCACTGCAGACGACCAAAATGAACCTACACCTCAGCTCCTTGATGCCCGGTCTGACCGCGAAGGTCTTCAGGACGTACAACGCCTCCATCACCCTGCAGGAGCAGCTGAATGCGCTCACAAACAGTGAGTGACACGCACGCACACACACACACACCACTCACAAACAGTGAGTGACACGCACACACACACACACACACGCTCCACTCTAAAGAGCGGCCTGTCTTTGAATTCATCTGTCACTGACTGACGCTAATTAAGATCTGGCTCGTATTTGGTCCCTGGACAGGTACCAGCGGCTAATTGCGGAGGTCCTTTATTGCGAGCTGCAGTCTGTGCATATGAGGAAGGACTTTAACTGTCGAAGTGATTCAGTAAATGTCCCAGAAGTCTTTTAAAGGCTTCTGTGTGACTGACAGCCTCCATTAGCATCGTAGCTTAATGGAATCCATCAGTTACACAATAGGTTATTATTTATTCAGGTTACAGATAATGTACATCATTCTGTTTAAAAAAAAACGGATAAAGAAACTAGTATTCAAATCAAACTTTTAAACTTTTGAAGTGAATCAGAAAAGTCAGACAACAAAGACATCAAAGATTCTAGTTCAGAACTGTCAGATTTTTGAGTGACGTTGATGACGTGATGCTGCTCGTCCTTGAACACATCGATTAGATCTCTGCTCATAGATCTGGCATCATCATGGGCCACACAAAATGACTCTGCGAGCCACATTTGGACCCCGAGCCTTGAGTTTGACACATGTGAGTTAAATACTCTGGTCACTCACACCTGCCTGTGATGAGTTTCTCAATCATAGTAGCAAGTTTGAGTGACATCATGTTGCCTTGAAAAAAATTTTGGAATTAATGATGTTCTGTGGCCGTAGTCCATTAATTATACACAATCACTGTCTGTGTCTCGTCTCCTGCCTCCGTGTGTCAAGATCTCCCAGCATCAAACACACCACTGTTGTCCACACCGACTATTTTTCATTTTATTTTGAAGCCCATTTGATTGAAGACCCTCTGACGTCAGTCGTCTTCTGCGGCCGAGGCAGGAGTTTGTTATCGCTTCTTATCTTATCCTCTCTCTCTCTGCCACAGTTTTCTCCCTCAGTCATTTCTAGATTCCCCTCAGGAGTCAGTGAGTGAGTGAGACTGACGTGTGATATTTGTGATGTGGTTGTGTGGTTCATGGAAAATCTGCATTAACTGAGGCCTTGGGCACCGCAGGTCAGAGCAGAGCGTCACTCAGTGCTCTTTGATGACCCCTTAACCATAGCTTTGGCCAACCAATCAATGATTATGTCAGTAGTAGAGAAACAGCAGCAGAGACGACAGGATAGATGTTTGTCTTTCCGTCCAAAAAAATGTTTTATTTTGCCTTTAAAAGCATTTGAAGCAGCACGCTCTTCAGAGATTTCAGTGTGAGTGTATTTTTAAAATGTATTTCCATAGTATATTTTGATATATTGTCTTGGGAATATTTTTTTTTCTTTTGACCCATTTTCTGTTTCATCCAAGAGTCAGACAATGTGGCAGAGAAAATACTGTCCTACAACAGAGCAAATAGAGCCGTCGCTATTCTCTGTAACCACCAGAGGGCGCCGCCAAAAACCTTTGATCAATCTATGGCCAATCTGCAGGTCAAGGTAAGACCACATGTCTACTATTTATATATATACATTTACATATATACATATATTTATTTATTTCTGTCATATTTTCTTTCCACTGTAACTTTTTTTTCTTAAAAAAGAATTCCCAGCAAATATATAAAAGGTGTGTTTTTAAAGGACAGCTCGGGGCTCCCAACACCTCATTCATAACATCACTCACTATGTTCTACTGTTCCTCAAACAGATTGATGCCAGGAAGGAGATGTTGGCTCTGGCTAAGACGGAGCTAAAACAGGCCGAAGAGGAAGCCAAGGACAAAGACAGCACTGACCCCAAGCTACAGATGTAAGTGTCGCTGCTGCTGCTGCTGCTGCTGCTGCTGCACCCAAAAACAGATCCAGTCTCTGAGTTCTCTCTCTATCAAACTTCTCTGTAACAATTTTTAACAGCTGAAATGCATGACATAAAAATTAGCTGTCGTTTAGAGACAGGAAACATAATGCCCTGCTGTTTTCTGGATCTAAGATGAACTACTTCCTCTTTCTGTAGAAAGTTTTTTGGCTTCTTTTTGTATGAACTGGAATTCCTCGTAAAAAAAATTCCTCGGCCTTATCTAGTATTATTATGCAACATTAACAAGAAACACAGGCTGTTGTCAGTCGTGTGTTTGAGCTACGTGACTGTCGCAACTAATATTCAAGATTAAGATGAAAGTGAAAGTGAACTCCTTGTCGCCACTGCACACAACCAAGCGTGACCTCTGATTTTAACCCATCACCAAAGTGAACAGTGGGGCAGCTTTAAGCTGACTTGGTGGACTTGAACATGAACCCCTCTGGACCCAAGTCTGTTTCCTTAACCACTAAGCCACCACTGCCTATAATCTTCCTTTAATGGAAGCTACTTTTCCAGAAAGGCTGCGTTTTGACAGATTCTCTGAACAAACAGACAGGTGGAGAGGAAGAAAGCGGCGGTGCAGCGTTGTGAGGAGCAGCTGCTGAAGATGGAGGTGCAGGCGACTGACAGGGAGGAGAACAAACAGATCGCCCTGGGTACCTCCAAGCTGAACTACCTGGACCCACGCATCAGCGTGGCCTGGTGAGTGAATAATGACCTCAACACATAGGGGGCGGGGACCAAGGCTGAGGGCTGTTTGATGCCACCTTAACCTGGGAACTACGATGGCCGTGCTAGGCCTGTTAGCATGCTATTACTGCGTTAACACAAAATTAATCACCATAGATAATATCTTAGCTCGTTACTGTCGCTGCTTTTTTTTTACAGTTCATATTCGTTAGTCTGTTGCTCATTGGCCCAGAATTAAAATTTCTATATCAATTTAAATTTCATCACCCTGTATTGGTCTTATATTTACCCACCAGTGCCACCTAGCTGTGGTTCTGGGTCATAACAGCCACTCAGTGTGGTGCCTTTTTCAGTCCGTGTCTCTTTCCTTTCACCTCCCCTCCACAGTGTGGCGCTAAGACAAAAGACGTCACAGACAGTGTAGACGTACGTGGTGGTACTCGTTTATTGTACAGGGTAAACTCCAGTCTTTTTGCCCTTCACATCTGACAGGTGTAAAAACATGGGGGTACCTATAGAGAAAATCTACAACAAAACCCACAGAGACAAGTTCGCCTGGGCCATCCACATGACGGAGGAGGACTTTGTGTTCTGATTGGCCCCTCGTCCAAATTCCTCACTCTCAGAAAACCAATGCTACGGAGGAACCAGTCACTTTGCAGCACTTACATGTTCCCTTTAAGACTGCTGTATTCTCAGATCAGGGATTCTGCTGATGTGGTTTTTCTTTTTTTTTCTTCCTACTTTTGGTTACTAAAAGTCAGGGGATTTGTTCATCAATTGTTTTTTTTATTAATATGAATAAAAGTTACAATTATGCAGCAAACGTGTCGCTGACTTGTGTGAACGTTGAACACTGATCTGGACGGAACTCCGTGTTTTCCTTCACCGCGTCTAGTCGTCTGTCGGCGTGTTCTCGTTGTCTCAACCCTTTCCCTCCGCTTCGTTAAATGTCACGACACTTCCAACGACTTATAAAGAAAACATGCAACACGTGGTTTTACTGTAGATATTTAGCATCGTTAGAAAAAACTTAGAAAAACAGAGAAAACTAAACACAGTGAGAGCACCTTATAGAGTTATTTATATCCTAGAAATGACTCAGCACCAGGCCAAATATGATGTAGTACATCGTAGACATGTACTAGACATAAGACAAAAGGTACGGTTTTTAAATAGTTTAATACAGTGGTTCTCAAACTGTAGAACGTGTACAACCGGTGGTACACAAGGGGATTTGATTCTCAGGTGAGTGCTTGAATACAGTCGATCTTTGTGTTTTCAGAATTGAACCAAAAGTACTAGTACATGTAGTGCTACTTCACTGTGCAGTACATCTTTGGCCAACGATCTCATGAGATGATGGTGTGACGTCGGTCTGTGTTTTATGCAGGTAATACCTGAAGAGACATTTTTTTTTTTTTTGAGGTGTTACGCGGAGTATGACGTTTGAGAAACCACGGCTTCAGTGAATGTGAATGGGAAGTGGAATGCATTGCATCTGTATTTCAGTAATCTGTGTAGAAGACTGCAGCTGTTCATGGTGTCCGATGGTGACTGGATTTTAGGAACTATCCCTTTACAATGTTGGTGTCTGGAAATAAAAAAAAACTACCCTCCTACGTTTTACAGTAACTTGTTCAAGCACATGAGCATCGTCTGCAGGAACAAACAGTACCACACTACTCTAGCTCACAAACAACGTTCAGCTTTCCCATGTCATTAAACAACTGGAACCATTTATATCACAATATTCAATATTTATACAAAATAAGCATTTCACACTACGACGGGCCAAATCAATAGAAGTCATGGAGGAGGAAGTCTGTGGCTCCTGGACTCGGGGGCTGACTTCGCACCTTGTTACCTATGGCAGGAAAAAATAATAATAAGAAAAACAGGATGGAATTTGGAGTAAACGGACAATGATTTTGTCACAGCCAATCTTTTAAAACTTCATTTTTAGTTTGCTGCCCCTCACAGTCAGGTTCTAGAAGTAAATCCCATCGGGGAGGACGATCAGAGAGACTTCTGTCTCACCTTCATGATCCAATCTTTCTCTATCTTTTAAAACTTTAATTTTATTTTGCTGGGGGGGACGACCAGAGAGACTTCTGTCTCACCTTCATGATGACGTGCTCTGACTCTCTTTTTGCTTCTCGGGTGCCGCCTCTATCTCCTCCACGCCGGCCTGGGTCATCAGGTCAGCGATGTTCTTCTCCAAATCATCAATGCGTGTGCTCATCTCATCGAGTGCAGAGCGAAGGTTAAGGTGTGTAAAACGGGAGAGTTTCCACGACAGGATTAGACAAAGTCAAACTATCAGTCAGTACACAGGAAGGAATGATGAAAAATGGATGAAAAAACAAGTTTAAAAAAGTAAGTACAGATACATTCAAAACAACAGCAAAGCATTCATGTGATTAATTTATCATTCTATTTCAATGTCAGGATATTCCTCCCTATGATTTGGTCCGACATGGTCTGGAACTTGTCCTGCATCTGTTGCAGCAGCGTCTGGACCTGAGAGACGAACCAGTGAGATGACGTAAGTGCCAGGGAAGATGTGTCAATCACAGTTTACACAAGGTTTCTTAGTTCTGACTTGGAGGAGAAGCTATTATTTTTAGGAGAAATAAAAACAAATGAACTGAAAAAACACAGCACTGATGGCAATGCATGATTTTTTTTTAATACAGAACAGGTCTTAAGTAAACCCTGTTTCCATGACACCAAAGCGAAAGCCCAGTAACTAAGAGAGATGAATATTTAGGGTTGCAGAGGAGTGACATTAACATAGAACCACACGATGATGTCATCATTTCCACTGCAATATCTTGGCATTAATATATATTTTTATGTTTATTGCCAATTAAAGTAACGGTAAAAGAAAGTTTATTGAAAGCAGATGAAGACAAAAGTATTTATCTAAACACAAAACACACAAAAGTGTGAGACGATAAAAGTCCATTTGTGAAAGATATCTCTCAAGATATTACTTTATATTTTACAGAAGAACAAAAGAGTTGAGACATTTTGTGTCTTTAATTTTATTGAAAAGACGTTTTAATTAACTCTTTTTTATCTATAAATGAATCAATGAATCAAATCCTAAATTTCCGGAGGCTATAAATGAATCAAATCCTAAATTTCCGGAGGGATTAATAAAGTGCTATCTGTCTATCAATCCTTAAATCAAAGCATCTTTTATCAAAGCTCGTCACCATGACAACAAACACACAACGTCAGCTGGTGTTTGTCCACTGTAAACAAAATGATCAAAAATCGATCATAAAACAAACTTATGTGCGAAAGATTTTAATTGTTTGAACTAATTTGCAGTTTCAAGGACAGCTAGCTAGCGTGCTTTATTTACGTCGTGATTTTGTTGATGCCATTCATAAAAACCACTCTGTTACATAACGCAGCAAAGGTAAATAAACACATTATTTCGTTGGGGGAAAAAACCCCGAAGAATTTTAAAACCAAAAACACAATTTATATGTCGTTATTCAACGAAACCGACAAATTGCTCCAGTCTTTTAGACTTTTGCTACGGATTCGTTTGTCAAATAGCTAAAGGTAGCTTAGCATCGCCGCCAATGCTATTGCGGCTATAGCTGTTAAGCTAATACGACCGTGACTCACCACATTTGTGAGGTCCTGGACTGACTTGGGATCCGTCTCTGCCATGGTGTAGTTTGAATTATAATCGGCGACTAAAGAGTGCAAAGATTTGAAGCACCGCTCTCTCGTTCCGTGTGTTTTGCTATTGGGTTGTTAGCTCCTCGAAGTCGCACCACCCACCGTACGGTCAGCTGATCCCGCTTACCGTCAACTCTCGCGAGAGTCACAAGGGTATAGAGGCTGGGATATGAAGTTTAAAAAAAAAAAACGACAGGACTTTGTAGTTTGTGTTTCACTCTTCGTGGTCACATGGCGAGATAGAGCTTTCATCCCCGCTGTGCTGACAGCACAACATTAAAACGCCTCAACCGGAACCACATCTCCGTGTCATTAGATGCTAGCTCGCGGTAAGTTTGTCAACAGCCGTTATTTTGTATTTATATGTGCGTGTGTCTAAAGGCGTGCGTGTTTGTTTGCGTGTGTCTCCGGTTAATTATGGGTCGGAATCTGCAGCAGGCTGCAAGTCGATGCGGGGTAAAATTACCGAGGGACCAGCTGGTCCCGTCCTGACAAGATTTATTTTAAAGTAGGAACTGAAAAACAAACAGAAACAGAGGAAATATAGGACATATTGAGAGAAAAAGTCACTCAAAGTGTGGAAACTGGAGAAAACAGATAAAACAAGAGTTCAGAAAATAAAGCTTAAATATAACAAGCAGCTTAAGGCCTTAAAGTTGGTTTAAAAAAAGTTGTAAAATACACCCCAAACAGCCCAGAATACACTTTAATTTAAAGTTAACTAATATGTAAAGGTGAGTAATTGCATAGTTAGCCCTTAAATTCAGCAATAAAGTTTAAAAACCAGAGCTGGATGGTCGCCAAAAATTATGAATAATATTTTATATATTGCAAAAACAAATCTAAGTCTGTGTCTAAAGTAAACTTTTATTTTCTAATAGTTTTAGTTAAACTTTAAAAATGAAGTTCACTCACTATAAGAATACAGTATAACATGCAGTAGTTGTGTGTAAACTTAAACCTTACTTACTTACTTAAACCTCTAGGAATTTAAGGTAGTCCATGTGTTTAGAAATGTCTCCTCCCCCCTTTCCTCTTCCTCCTCCCCAAAGGAGGAGTAGTGATTTGAACGCTGGGAGACTGGCGTGTGTTTTCGACAGTGAAACTGTAAACTGGCCGGGCTTTAGTTTAACTTGTGGGATGCGAAATTAAAAGCAAGTAACTGGTGAGTGAAACCTAAACTTTTGTCAGTGTTGATTCACCTCCGAGATCCTTTTGTTTGGACTGAGTGAGCTGTGAATGGTCTCCTTCAGTCCAACAGTGACTGAGGTTGAGGTGAGAAAACCCTGAAGAGTTTCTCAGGTGATTCTCCTCTTAATTAAAAAGGTTTCCCTTCTGCAGCTCATGTCTGTTTCTTCTGCCACTGCTGCTGAAGTCACTGCGGACCAGGAGGGATTTATGAAAGTTTAGACATGTTGGCCCAACCCCATGCAGCTATGCTTTGCTTACATAATAACACAGCCTGTTTTGTTACCCGAGTCGGTTTCCTGTGAATTGTGATGGTTCATTCACACTGGCTGCAGGGGGAAGTAGCTGCACACTGTCAACGTTGACGTTACTGTTGTGGATAAGACGACCTGGACGGCCGAGAACTGACACTGACACACTGTTAAAATGCTGAATAATGTTTAACTGCTGCAGAGCTGTAAAAAAAAAGTATTTAAAAGTATTTAAGGGTTTAACATGCACTATACAAAGGTCAGCAATATGTAAAAAAAATGCTCAGGGGTAAATGTCTTTAAAAAATTAGAGTTTTTCATGTTTTAGGGGCAATTATTTAAATGTAAAGTATAAAGTTAACGTTTGTAGAAATCTGTCACTTGGACTTAATGTAAAGTCTCTTAAAGATACAATAAAAAGTAGCCAAAGTCTAGCTCAGAACTGTCATAAAGTTGGCTTTACAATTGGGGAAAAAATTAGATTAGTCAAACTTTGATAAAGTAGCATCGTAATGGTTTAAAATGTTACTAAATGGTTAGTGAATTAACCTAAAGATTAAAAAATGGCAACAAAACATAGATATGTGTTACCTTGCTAGAAATAGACTTGGACTTTTTTACAAAGACAAATTCAATGTTTACTTTTAATTCATTAAAATCCTTCTCTAGTTTATATCAACTGTAGACAAAAGTTAACCCAGTGTTTGTCGGTAACAACTGTAAGTGAAACCAGGATGTATTAGAATTGGATGAATAAACAATAGGGCCACAGATGGCAAGATGATAACGTAGCTAAATGCTATCTCAGTTCACCATGTCAGCATTTGTGGTTCCATAACGTCCGGTTAGCACGCCTGCTGCAGAAGCAGAACGCAGACAGTCCTGGGTTTGATTCCCAGATCAAGTGTGGGATCAATAAGGTCAAAATGTCAAATCTGCCACAGAGCTTTACTAAAATACAAATAGTACAACCTGTTCATCAACAAAGTTTGTCCGAAAATATAAAAATATAAATAAATAGTACTGTTCATAAACAAAGTTTGTCCGAAAATATAAAAATAGCAAAACATGATAGAAATTCTTAACAAAAAATATTTAATGGTTACTGAAAATGAAAAAAAAAATTGCAGTATGCTAACAATCTTACCTTTTTCTGTAATGCCTCGAATGAATACGTGAGTGTCACTGAGATCTCTTTATCTGTGAAGTTGCAGCTGCCGGATACGTTTTATTTTATTTTTTCTGCTTGGCTTCATCATGTTAAGCTTGATCTGCTGCTGCTGTTTAAACAGCCCATTATCAGCAAACACACACAGAGAGGCTTCTGTCTGATAAGAAAAACATTTTACTGAGGCCTCCTTCTTCCTTCACGCTAGTCGTCATGACGAGATTGGTAAAATTCACGCTAGTCGTCATGACGAGATTGGCCACGTTTTTCCATGTCTGAGTTTTGGTGAAGAAGTTCTACGACAGTGAACTAAAACATGTTAATGATGCATCTCCAACACTTCTGACAAAGTTACTGACAAAAATATATATTAATAACATTTCAGAATTATTTATAATTGAGATTGAGATTTGGCTAAAAGTAATAAAAAGTTAACAAAAAATATTAACAGGACAAACAAAATATCAAAAACATTGTTAGATTTTACTTCTACTAGTGCTTGAACTAATGCACAAAATGTAAACAGCTGTCAAAAACTTCAGCTAGCATTGATGTTAGCCTAATCATCAGACGTTTGTCATATGACAGATCTCTGATTTTTAACCTTGGTGTTTCTCAGGTTTCAGCATTTAATTGTCCCCGACATCGTCCCTCGTCGTGATGGATGCAGAGGTGGTTCTACAGGAGGAGGACATGGACGGCTCCTGGTCGCTGCTGTCCTGGCTGGCCTCCTGCATCATGGTGTTCGGAGGAGCCGTCCCTTATGTGCCTCAGTACCAGGAGATCCTCAGGAGCAGCAACACCGAGGGCTTCTCCACCAGAGTCTGCCTGGTGCTGCTCGTCGCAAACATCCTGCGCATTTTCTTCTGGTGAGAATCTGATTTTTCTTTCTTTTTCTTTTTTGGCTTAAAAAAAGCTCTCTCAAAACCTTTTCAGACCTGGAAACACTTCTTTAGAATCTTTAGAGTTGAAAGGAAACCCTGTTGTTTCAGGATAGGGAAGCAGTTTGAGACGACTCTGCTGCTGCAGAGCGTGGTCATGATCCTCACCATGTTTGCCATGCTTCACCTCTGCTGCACCGTCCAGAACACCAACCGAGTCAGCACCAGGCAGCACAGACTCTCAGGTAAGACACAATGCTATTTCTAAATGTACTTCTCAATACATTCACCATTTTAAGGCTGTAAATAACAGTTTCCAACCAGTGATCAGAACCACAATTCCCACTTACGGCCAAAAGAGGGAGCCATTGTAAAAGGGTTTTTGTCTTTACCAAACGCCTGACCTTTTAAAAACGCAGCTAGTAGTAAAGGCCAAAAGGAAAATACTGACAGCCATTAATACTGACGTGTGTGTGAGAGTGTGAGGGAAGCAGTAAAGTCCAGTAGATGCATTAGTGATGTTCCATCACACGGGAGATGAATCTAATCTGAGACCGAAAGACTCTGTGTCTGTCTCTGAGGAGACCTGGCGTCTGTCTCCACCGAACAGGAAATGAAATAAAATGCTCTCATTTTAAAATGCATCATTTTTTTCATGGTTAAAAAAAAAACCTGATCCAGTAGAAGGTAACGCAGCTGTGTGAAGAAGTGTCAGTGATGAACATCAGACACCTGTAGTAAAAGTTCCACTGATGTAAATGAGTCCACTGGTCCAGTGAAACAGTCCAGTCGGACCAGAACTGAACCTGGTCTTTGTGTTCGCTGTTAGTCCTGAAGTCCGGCAGCTGGTACACGCCTTAAACTAAACCAAGACTTTGGTAGGTTTTCTAATCCCAGCACGGTGGTCATGAGTCAACGGTGAAAGTTGGGCCGAGCAGAAAATGTCATTAAAGACAGAAATAATTCAGTAAAAACTGTGTGTCAATGACATGCTGTTTGTTTCGCCCCCTGGTGGTAGATCTCCTGAAGAGGCTTCTTGATTGAGAAACTAAAGAGGTTGTGTGTAGAGTGATGATGATTGTAATCTCCAGTGTGTGTGTGTGGATTGTTTATTATTGTCTTTCTTTAAATCATGAGCTGGAACTTTTAATTAAATATGAGACAAAACTGGGTGATTTTTATGATCTTTTTTTCTTTTAATTTCCTGCTGCAGTGGCAAAAACAGCAGACGATTAATCTGGGACTGGAACAGTTTAATGGTGACGGATGATTGAGTTTTAATGGGATGACATTTACATACAACGCTCAGTAAAACTCTGCCTGATTACTGTCTAACATTCAGGGCCAAACCCCCCCCCCAACCCCCAACCCCCAGACCGTTACTTCGTTTTCTTATTCTATATCCGACCTTTAGCTTGTGGCGCAGCAGCTTAATCTTACATTAGCATTTAGCTGTTCTTAAGTGCAGTTCTAACATTTAATATTTTTTTTGCAACCACCTAAATATTATTTTCTTGCCCTATTTTCGCTAACTTTTATTTTGGCTAATTCTGTTGCTACCTGTGGTTAAAAGTCAGTTTATTTTAACTGACTCTAAAGTAATTGTAGTTATTTTTCACCCGGTTTTATTGTCTTTCCTGTTGCTTTCTGTTGTGGGATAAAAAAACAAAACAAAAAAACACAACCATAAACGGCCCCTAACTATCCCTTCACACGGACCGTCGCCCTGTTGTGACGTGTCCCACTCACGTCCTCACATCTGGCTCTAATTTAAAAAACGAAAAGGAGTAAACGATCGTAAATATTAAAGTTCGGAGCCTCTGTGTTCTTGTCTCTGCGCTAATCTGAGTTCTGACTTTGCAGCGACTTCCATCAGCTGTTCCCGCTGGTGCTGCAGTGTGTGAGGCGGGGGCTGATGGGGGAGAGAGAAACGTTCAAAGACGAACGTAACCTGAGGCTGTGGTGTCAGACCTGAGCAGTGGTTTCACTTTGAACAGCTGGAGCAAAAAAAAAAATTCAAAAGCGAACAGAAAATGTTTAATGCTGTTAATGTTGCTAGAAAGAAAAATACTTATATATATATATATATACAATTCTATACTTAAGAATCATTTTCGATTTGACGTTTATCATAATAAATGCTTGATTTAAAGTGAAACACCCCCCTCTGCTGCTCAGTGTGAGTAAAGCACATTATAGTTTACACACACAAACAACATTAGCCTCGGTTTTAAAGATGTATTTTTGTATTTGTGTAGGTTTCACAGATTAATGTTAGTCGTGTCCGCCTCCCCCGTTGCTGGGTGAGTCATCGAGCGCTTACGCTTTTTTTGTGAGATTGTGTGAGACGAAGTTAAGCTCAGCGGACCGTAAACAGAGGACACACGGCGGGGACTATAGCTCCTGTTGACCCCGCGTTCAACCCCGCAACCGCGTTATCGCTCAACGGGTGAAAGCAATTTTAATTTGTACCCTGTAATGCCCTCTAGATGGGGTTAGAAACACACACACAGCCTTTATTAACCCTGGTGAGAACAAGTGAGATTTGTTTTCCTGTTATCAGTAACTTGTCGGTGTCTGATGACATCACAGAGATGTTTTGTTTTCGCTGATGTCTTCTGTCCAGCACCGAGCAGAGTTATGTCGTGTGCCTCAGGATTTATTTATTAACGTGTTAATATATATTTACCTGACTGACATTCTTGTTCTTAAATGTATTGGACAGAACTCCACGGTCGCCCTACGTTTTTGGGAATGTCTTTACTTAACGGTTGTTTGTGGGCTAATGTTGAGTTAGCTTTAGGCTAATTGTATATAATGTGAGTCGCTGTAGTGCTAATTCTGTTTCTTCTTCACTTCTTCTTTTCTTCTTCTTCACTTCAAGTGACCTGGTTATTGCAGTACAGTACAGTATTACTGCAGTACAGGGTGGAAGTGTTGGATTTTGTAGTAGGTTTTTTTTTCTGAGCTGTTTGCAGAGCATTCGACTGAGTTTACTGTGCTTATATTTCACACATTGTTTATTAAATAGTCCATACATTTCTTTGATT